GCCTGCCCCTCCCGCCTTGCAGGGCAGCCTTCCAGGGCGCCCCCTACTCCTGGCTCCAGAAGCCTGGCCAGGCTCGGCTTCTCCCGGTGCTCTGCTGAGCTGCCCATCGTCCGTCCACTAAGCCTGGGGCGGCGACAGGGGTTATAATTCGCTCACTCGTGTACTCAGCAGGCCAGACTGAGCACCTACTGTGTGCCAGCGCGCAGGCTTGGGGGTTGGGGGGGCGGGCAGGGGCAGGGCGCTCAGGGCAGGAAACCGGGAGCCGGAAACACGCAGCGCGCAGGACCGTGGCCGGACCCTGGCGGGTGTGCCGGACCAGAGGAGGCAGGAGCCCCCCACCACCCCCCCAGAAGGGGTTCTGCTGAGGTCACAGCCCCGCCTCTGCACCCTGCTGCTGGGCTCAGCCATGAGGCTGCGGTCTGGGGACACTTCCTGAAGCCACTTGAGGGCTCTGACTGTGAGGGCATCTGCCAGCATTGGGGGTGGGGTCCCTGCCGCCCCACCCAGGGCCCTGGGACGGGGTTCAGTGATTGCGCTCCTGACTGTGCCAAAGCCTGTCCGCCCCTTGCCTGCTAGTAACAATTCCGGTCACTCTTTAATATCATCTCTGTCACAGGCCGCTCACCACCTGCCTGCAGGTCGGAGGGCGGCTGCGAGGTTTGAAGCTGAGCCCAGGATCAGATGCCTGGACTCCCAGACTCCCATCCTGACGGCCCCCACTGGGTAGTTGTGCGGCCTCAGGCAAGCTCACTACCTGTCTAGCTTCCTGGTCTGAGGTTTCTGCGAAAGTACCAGAACAGCAGGCTGTCAATACACTCAGGCCCAAAGGCAACAAGTCCTGTACAAGGTCATTGCTGGCAAAGAGGGGAGCTAGATCCGAACCCCCATATCCCAAGCCCTCTTCTTGCCTAAATGGCACCACCAGCAAGAGGGCTGAGCCCCACCCCGCCCGGGGTGCTAAGAGTGATGGGCAAGCCCCTTCCTGTCTGAGGCAGGGGGCCCTCCCCTGGGGAAGGGGCAGGCCGGGGGGCAGCGGGCCCGGGGGCAGCGGGTCCAGCTGACGTGCCCCCTCCTCCTGTCTCTGCAGCTTTTTGCCATGATCTTCGCCATGTGCCTCTTCCGTGGCACCCAGTAGAGGGCATGGCCTGAAGCCGGACAACACCCGCCCAACGCTGCCTGTGGCCCAGCGCCCTCCCCTCCTCGCACCCCTGTCCTGGCCTGGAGGAGGGGGCCAGGCCAACATGCGTGGCCAGCAGGGGCAGGGGGAAATAGCTATTTTTTTAACAAAACAAAAAGAAGAAAAAAGTCTAGACGGATGTCACTGACCCAGACCCCAGGGAGGGTGCCACCGGCTTTCCCCCGGGGTCCTGAAGCCGAGACCCGTGGGCACTGGAGACCAAAGGAACACCCAGTCCTAGGTCCTTCCCGGCCCCAACCGGACTCGGGCCACCCCGGGCCTGGGCCCTCTCCTCGAGGCGTCGGGACCTGGTGCCAAGATAAATGAGGACTTAGGCAACGAGGAAGCCAAGCAAGTGTCAGAGAGAGGTCACACCGCGTCCCTGAGGACTCAGAACCTGCGCGCCCTCCCTCATCCTCCCATGCGGATACCCCTGCCTGGGGCTGGAGCCAAGAGTGGGCAGTGGACACTGGATGCAAGGATGGCCTGGCTGCTGCACCCTCTGTTGGACCAAACCACCTGGAAGGCCCAGAGAGGAGCAGTTTCTCACCCACCGTCACACAGGATATGGCAGTTGGAGCAACAGCCAGGCCTCTGCAGACCTGCTCGCACCCTCCCTGGTCTCGGCATCTCGGCTCCCCCAGAAGAGAGGGGAGCCTGACCAGCAACCCAGCCCCCGTCTCTGCCTAGCTCCAGAGCTAAGATTATCCCCGACTCTCCCCGCACCTGTCATCCCCACCTGTCGCCACACCGCCCTCAGCCCCTGGGCACACACGTGTATGTACACACGTCACATCTTTCCATGCTGTTTGTTCTCGCTGCACAAGCCCCAGCACCCCCGTCCCCGCTCACCCCCTGGCTCCCCAAGCTGGATCATCCCCAGGGCCCCCTGACGCGCCCATCTGCACCCGAAACTGAGGCTTGGATGTCTTCCGCAAGACCCCTGCCGACACTTCACCCTCTTCTTGAACACCTCCAGGGACCAGGTGCTTGCTACCTCCCGAGGCAGCCCCCCGCCTCGGCCCGCAGCGGCATCAGCTCAGGGCACGGAGTTTCTGTTTCTGTGTCCCCATCCCTGGCATCCCACTGGTTCTCTCTCCTGCGTGTTCAGGCCGCACATTGTCTCCGGGAGATTCCTCATCTCCCGGATGAAGAACTCCGGGGCGCCTTGGCTGCTTCTGCTGTGACACGGCAGGAGAAGTTTGCCACCCATTCATTCACACCACAAAGCATCACACGTCAGTGCCTCATACCCGGACCTCACATTTTAGATCAGTATTAGCGGCTGGGTTGCAAGGCCTTGACCCCAAACAGTTTAATCAAGGTTTGGGGTGGGCTCAGTTGGAGAGGGCAGGGAATCCTGACTAGTGATATCTGGCAGCCACCTCAAGCGCAACTCGTGATGTCTGGCGAGCACCTTAGGTTTGATTAGTGCTGTCTGCCTGGGACGGGCAGGGGCAGCTGAGCCTGCTGTCCTCTCCTCCCGCTGGCTGACCCTCTCCAGGGAACAGCCTGGAGAAGAGCCCATTCTGTCTTACTGGCTCTGTGCCAGCTCCCAGCCTGCCTGTGGCTTTTCAGCCACTGGGAGACAGAGCCCACTGCCCCCTGCTCTGACCCTGCCCATCCCCAAACGCAGCCCGAGCTGCTGTAAAGATCCCATTTGACTTGCTGTGGCCCCTCTCCCTTCCCCTGCTACTGTGTGCTCCAGCCCTGGCCTCCCTCCAGGCCCCTGAACTGGATCTAACTCGTCTCTGTACTAGCAGATACATAAATACTGCCATGAACTCCCTCGCGATTGGGCATCCCAGGGCCAAGGGCCCTGAAGCTGGCACCTCAGTCTAGCCTGAAAGGGCTTAGGGCCTGCCCTCTGCAGACCCATCCACATGCCTGTCCAGGCTTCCTGAAAGGCAAATGGCTAGTCTGAGGGTGACAAAAGCAAACAGAGAACTACATGAGACCAGTGTCTTGGGTCTATCAGTAGCTTTGTGGTTCCCATCCAGGGGTATCCTAGACTTCTGGGTCCCATATGGCCCTGACTGCCCACAGAATCTAGGGCCTTACAGGTAAGAAGAGTCTGGCATCTGGCTCCCGCCCCTTTTTGAGCCCCTGAAATGTTCGAGAGGGAGGAAGTGCAGGTTACGGGGGAATGTCTGGATAAGATGGGTTCAAAGGTGATGCAAGACCCGCACCCCCAAGAGCTGCCTAGAAAGGTGCCAAGGAGCCCCTCAGTGACCACACTCAGGCTGGAAAGGAAAAGCAGCGTCCGCTCCTAAGTTCTGGTCCAGGCTGGCAGCTGTCACGAGGACACGTGAGGCCAGGTCGAAGGGCAAAAAAGGCTTAACCTGCAGCCTCCACAGGTGTAGCTCATGATCCATCAGTGCTGGGGTCCCAGGCTGCTGGAGGTGGGCGGGGACAGGCTAGGGATGCCTCCTGGCCCAGAGGTCCTCTGACCTCTGACCCCACAACAAGACATGGCTGGGAGATTTCTGTCAGTGATGTGTTCCGCCCCACAGCCCCTCCCTCCTACTTCAAAGGCACGGGCCTGGCGTGTAGGGCCTGGCGTTACACGCATCGTAAGGGCTCAGGCCTGGGTCCCCCTCCTGGCTCTCCCTGTCCCCCTCTCCCAGCCATGCCTCAGGAGCCAAGTTGGCCACCCCCTAACCAGCTGTGGCCCCAGCAGCCACCCCCTCTCCTGCCTCTCCCCTTCCCCACTGAGTCCCCATGTGGAAAGTCTATTTTGAAGACTGTAGATGTACCTGCAGTAGACAGCAGAACTAATTTATCATGTTTATTTCCTGTGAGCCCCCCTTTTTATATTATATATCAAGAGGAGTTTTGTAATATAAAACAGGATGCCCACAGATGGTTTTGCACTGGTTTTTGTGACCATTTCTTACAAAAAGAAAAAGGAATGAGGAATAAATAGTCACCATGGAGAAAGGTGAGGTCTTGGTTGGGGCGTGCTGGGCTGGGCGAGGAGACTGGAGACCCAGGGGGGTGCTGGGTTCTGGTGGCAAAGGAGATCCGGGAGATTCTTGGTCTTCCCAAACCTTTACAATAGGAAGCGGGGCCTGCACTGACCTTTCTCACTAGGATAGAGGGTCCCTGACCGCCTCCTCCCCAACAGGAAGCCTGGCCTTAGCATCCTGCCCCTGGGCCCCCAGGCCAGGCCCCTTCCTTGCGCCTTACTGCCCGAGGCGGGCAGTCCCATGCCCTTGTGCCTTCTCCACCCCCTCGCAGGGGCAAGGCCATGTCCGCCCCCTTCCCGACCCAGCAGAGAGTGAGGCCATGTGGCCGGTTCAGCTCCTACAAACGCCCACACAGAGCTCGGTGCCAAAGCACCTGGGCTTCCCTGCCTGCCCTCGGGGCTTCCCCCTCCACACCTGGCAGTCATTAGGACAAACGCCCATCACCTGGGACAGGTAAGCCAGGCCTGACAGCATGGGTCAGATGGAGGGCCGTAGCCGCGCCTCGGGGCACTGCCCACCGGCCATCGACACCACCTTTCAGAGGAGGCCCGGGTGCCATGCGAGTCAAGGCAGGGATGTGATTCTGGAGAGAAATGGAGTCAGCGGCCAGGTGGACACCAGGGAAGAGCGGCCCGTCCTTAGCGCCCAGGCTCTCTTCTGCTCAACCAGGTAACCAGCGCACAGCCCTGAGCCTCCCTCCTGTTCTGGGTCACTGTGGCTCCCACAGGGGGGAGGGACAGGGAGCCCCCCCCCCCCGCCCCGGGCAACAACCAGAGGTGCTGCAGAGGGATCGTCTGTCACCCCCCAAGCCGCCTCCCCCCTCACCCCTGACTGAGAAGCAATTCTGGGGCCTGGGCTGCTGTTCCCACACCCTCCCTCCACACCCCTCCTCAGCTCCCAGGGGCTGCCATTCCCAGGCTGCTGGGGGGAAGAACACTGACAGCAGGGACAAGCGGATGGAAGTGGGGAGGGGCCCTGCGGGATGAGGCAGGTTCTCCTCTGCTCTGAGGGGCTCCGCGGCCTAGTCCAGGGCATTGGCAACGGGTATGGGGGCTTCTTCCCCTGCTCACCCCGAAGCGCCCCATCTACTCAGCCAGGCCCCGGGGGCAGCTGAGGCCACAGGTGCAGAGGGCACAGCCCCAGGGGAGGGACCCCGAGGTTATACCTGCAGGCCCAGGAACTAGGAAGAGCGGCTGCTGCTTTTTCTAACTCCCCCAAACCCCATCACTCCCAGGGGCCTCCAGCTGGGTTATGTGTCCACCTGACCAGGCCGGCCTCTGGGCCTGGGACGGTAGGGGAAGGGGTCTCCCCAGAGCCTCCAGAAGCTGGGGACAAGGCCCAGGATAGGGGAGAGGACTGGGGGGGTGTGTCCCGACTCAAAGAACGTGAGCAGAAGCACAGGCTCCAAGCCACCTGTGGAGCGGGAGCCCTGGGCTGTGGGCAGGGAGGGGTGTGCTCACCGGGTGGGGAGGGCCACAGAGAGGAGCGGGGACAGGGGCCCATTGTGGGGGTTCCCAGGCATAGACAGAAGCCAAGTTCACTGCTCGGATACTACGCTGGCTGAGGGTGTGGGGGAGACAGGAAGGCAGCCACAGCCCCTCTCGAAAGAAGGGGCGCCTTAGCCCAACACCCAGACACCAGCTCTCCAGTATCTGTCCGGGGGGGCTGGGAGCAAGAGACCCAAAAATAAGAGGTGTCCCCGTGTAGGCTGAAGATACAGTCGCCGAGGGCCAGTCCTGCCCCAAACTCGGACACCAGTCTGGGGAGTGCTGGCCTGGGGAAGGGAGCCCCCTGCCACCCAGGTAGGGTCCTTCCTGTCTTCCAGGGACCAAAGGGAGACTGAGGCCCCAGGGCCTCCCTGCTCCGAGGGGGCCCTGACATGGGCAGCTAGACTTTCTTGGGTCTTCGGCCGACTTGGTAATAGTAGTAAATGCTGATGGCGACAAAAAGGAGGCAGCTGACCAGGAGCAGCAGGGTCCCGAGGGAGACCAGGCCCGTCTCGGCCAGCGTGGCAGTGACCACTGTAGGAGACAGCCGGGGGGGACAGAGGTCAGCGAGTGGGGGTACGCCTCCCCCTACAGGTGCCACCCGGAGCCAGGGGCCCTTCCCCACCCATCCACCTGGGGAGACAAGCTAGCCCACGTGGCAGGTCATGGGGTGCCGTGGGGGGGGGGAGACAGACGGGGTGTGCTGCCACCTGTGCTGGGTACACACGTGACTTCAGGACGATGCAGGCACAGGTGTGCAGGCCCCAGTAATAAAAGCCACCCGAGCCCCTCCCCCTTGGAAGCTTTCCCTCTCTTTCTGGAGGCCTGCTACCAAGAGGTGAAGGCAACGGTGGAGAAGGGGGGCAAAGCCACCCTCACGCACCCCATCAGCTGTGCCCCTGCCCCGCTGGTCACCTCAGCACTCACCCAAGAACTGGACCCCCAAGTAGCAAGCTTCCATGAGCAGCGTCCACCGGATGATGACCTTCTCGGCCGTGTAGAGCGCGTTCCACATGATCAGAGAGATGCCTGGGGTGAGGTGGACAGACAGGTGGGCGGTCTGCGCCCCCACCCGTGCGCTGGGGACAGGGTACGCTCCTCCTCGCTTTATTTCTGACCCAAAAGACAGCCAGGATCCTGACTTCTGGGGTCTGCCACAGACCCATTCCCTGCTCAGACGCAGAGTCACCCCCGACCCTGGCCCATCCCCTCCAGGCTTCCGCCAACAAGCTCAAGCCGATTCCAGTAGCTTCCCGGGCCCTGTGGAACACTGGGCAGGTCACGTCCCCTCCCGGGACTCAGTCTTGTCACTAGTAAGGCCTGAGCCTCAACATCCCACCCCAGCCAGGTCCCCTAGTCAGCACGGGCAGAGCCCAGCGTCCATGGGCGTTTTCTCTCCAAATGGACTCGCACAGACAGAAAGTCTGAGCCCAGAAAGGAATCACAGGGAATTTCCCAGCGGCAGGTAGCGGACTGGGCGTTTTAGTGAAGACCCAGGGTAAGCTGGCTCTGAACGGCGGCTGTGTTCCCTCAACAGCCCTAACCCCCGAACACCTGTTCGCCCTCGTTGGGTGAAGAGCTTGCAGCCATCCCAGCTGCACCACCCTCTGCCCCAGAGGTGCTGAGCTGGCCTTTGGAGGCAGCACAAGGCTGGAGAGACTGGGCGCAAAGGTCCAGAGCCACACATCAGGAGGTGTGCGCTCCAGGGCCCGCTGTGGGAGGGGGAGAGGCTTAGGAAGGCAAGCTGGATTCACCCACTGCAAGACTCTAAATGCCAGGGAGGAGCAGGGACTTTATTCTACAGGTAATAGGGAGCCACAGAATGTCTTAGAGGTGAAGGTCAGTCACCACCTGTACTAGTTTTAAAAGTTGTCACACTGTGTGACTCGGCTTAGAGGAAACAGAAGTAGTTCAAATGAGAAGCCCAAGGGTATGTGGGGCTTTGACTTATGAGGGCAACAGGGCTTGGGCCCATTCCTCTTGCACCCCAGAGCCCAGGGGTTTTTTCCCCCAGATGGTGGCAAAAAAAAAAAAAATCAAAAAACCAGTTAGATCCACTGAGTGCATTCCATGAGTGGCCACAAGATGGCAGCACACACCCAACCAATGGCACCCCTGAGCACACTCAGAGCTGAGAGACCCCAGGCAGAGAGGAAGGCCCTGGGTGTTCCCCTCAGCCCAGGTTGGTCCCATGCCTCCCTCAGGCTCCATTCCAGGGGTACTCACTGAGGAGGGCGCCACCATAGAGGCGGATGGGAGTCTTGCTGTTCACCTGGGCTCCATCAAACACGGCATCATAGAGCTGGTCCGGGAAGGCGAAGGCCTGTAGACAGTGGGTGAGGGTCATCTTCACCCCAGAGGTGGGGCTGAAGTCCCTGGGCAGTCCAGGGTCAGAATCTTGGCTGCTCTGGCCTCACCCTCCAGGCAGACCAAAGGCTCTGGACTTCCCAGGGGCAGGGAGAGGAGTGGAGTGAGGACCAGGGGCCCGGGCAGCTCCAGGCAGGGTACAGGGGGCCTGAGTGTTGGGAGCTGGGGCAGTAGAAGCAGCCAGAGAGCCTTGACAGGGGGGCTCAGTAGGAAATGCTGGAAAGGCAGCAGAAGCCCAGGCAGGCCCCAGTGAGCAGGCCAGACAAGGGCGGGAAGAGCCGGAGCCTAGGGATGAGGGGGACTCACCATGATGGCGATGCCTGAGAAGAGCACAGCAGATACGAACTGCCAGACCCTGGGGAGGTGTGCAGCGGGAGGTCACAGCCAGACCCCTGAGGCCACCCCAACCCGGCCCCGTCACCGCCCCTCAAGGGAGTGCTCACCTGAGCCCCAGAGGCTCCCGAACAGCAAACTTGATTTCATTGCCCAAGACCTGGCTGATCTGCAAATACAGGGGGGTCAGCCAGGTAGAGAAACTCTGCACATGAAGCACCCCCCATCCCTCCCGGGACCCCTGGCAGGCCCAGGGACCACCCGAGTTCCCGGCTGCGAAGGTCACACTGAAGTCACCAGCTCCAGCTTGAGGGAAGCTGAAAATACACTGGCCGGGAACAAAGGTGGAGGGAGGGGCCCGTGGACCTGGGCTTGAAGCCTGGTCGCCGCTGACCAGTGTGGCCTCCGGCAGGGTCCTTCATCTGCAAAATGGGCCAGGAGCTGGGTCTCCACCTCCCAGGGGACGGCAGGATTAAATAATGCTTATAAAGCCATACGTGTGATAATAAGCACTCAATTCCAACGACGTACTTTCCTTTTTGTGATTATTCCCTGGAATTCTCCACTAAGATTCTGAGAAAATGAGCTCGGTCCTGGGGTTCCTGCAGTATTGCTCTTCTCCCCAACCGCACCCCGCACGGGGCTCCCCCGCCCTAGAGCCCCGCAGGCAGATCCCTGGCCTGGGCCGCTCCAGGCCCTCCCCGAGGCCCACCTTGGATCGGTGCACCTCCCCGTCATCGTCCTCGCCACCCACACCCAGGATCTTGCGGGTCTTCAGACGGCTCACGAGGTCCGTCTGGCTGTGCTTCTTCATGAGAGGTGGGGGCTGCTTGGCCGCCATCTTGTCCCGGAGCCCACCTCTGCAGAGGTGCTGAGGAGAGACACAGGCGAAGGGGAGGGGGCTGCTCAGCTTCCAGCCCCGGGGGTGGGAGAGGGCAGGCTGGGCCCAGGGTCTGCAGGGCCTCCGCTCGGGGCGGCAGGCAGGCAGTCTGGGGCGCAGGCCCTGTGCTCGGCTCCCTCACCACCCAAGCTGCCCCTTTCCTGGCCTCAGCTTCCTAGTCTATACATGGGTTGGGGTGGAGGCTCCTGTCAGCTCTGCCACCAGAAGAGGGAGACATCTGCCCAGGCCTGGACCCTGAGTTCTGGGGTACAGGATCACCCCGTAAGCTACTGACCAGACAATCCCCGCTGCCCAGCCCTCCCTCCCTCCCTCCCTCGGATCCCCAGACAGCCCCCTTCACACCTGCCAGGGCTGAAAGCCCGTGGGTGGGAGGCACCAGAGCAAGAGCAGTCAGGAGCATGGGCAGGGCTCTGGGTGGGCCCTCCCTGCCATCAGCACCCCAGCTCTCCCCTGACCCCTGAGCCTGCCCACATCCTCCACCGCCCCACGCCCTGCCACCCCACCCTACCTCTGGCCATCCACACACCTACACTGTACCAGGTGCTGTGTGCAGCGAGGGCCGCACCGGGCACTGTCCTTGTCTCCAGGGGGCACAAAGCCTGTGTGGAGTCAGGGCGTGACCTCAGGGCGGTAGAGGCTTCGGGAAGCTGGTCCTGGGGTGGCTCTGGGTGATGAACTGCAAGACAGGCACAGCTCAGTTCTCCCCACCCCACCGCAGGCCCCACTGTGTCTCCGGAGGCTGGTGTCGCTCCTGTCCCCAGCACCTCATCTCCTCAGCAAGGCGGAAAACTAGCCCCCTTTACGTGCCAGGTGTCGGCGGGACGGGAGCTGAGCTGGGTGCGCAGACCCCCAGCCCAGGCTCCAGCCCGAGCCGGCACGGGGTCTGCCGGCCCAGTCAGAGCCATCGGTATCCCAGGTCACCTCTCCTCTCCCGGCCTCCCAGTGTCTGAAACAAATCATCCAGCAAATAATCAGAACAGAGAATCAGACTGCAGGGTTTTGGTTACGCAGCTTTCTAATGGGATGCGCCAGGCAGGCTGGAAACCACCCTGGGTTTGAAAAGAAAGGTGGAAGTCGGCCTCAGGGTCTTCAGTGAGCCATGTCCAGCGGCCCAGCGGCCCAGCGGCCCTCCTAAGCCCCTAGACTTAGTTCCACATCTGTAAGATGGGAGCGGCTAGGCCTTCTCTCCCGTGCACCCCCATGCACGTGGTGATAATGGGGGTGGGCGCCAGGGCCCCATGCCCGACCCAGCCGTGGTGTTCAAGTTACACGGCTTTGCTGCCACTGACCACCTCCCGGTGAACCCAGATGTGAGCTGCAATCAGTCCTGCTGCCAGCTGGGTCCCCCTGGACTGCAAAGACACCCCTCTTCCTGCCCCACCGTGGAGGAGCACCTCCAGCCTGGCCATCTTTCCAGCTCCCCCTCTGGTCTGTGAGGCTATCCATCTCCACGCAGCAAAAGAAGCGCTCTTGTTCCATCCTGCCCACGGTATCGCAGGCAGACTGATGCAACCGCACCACTCCAAATCGGGACTCAGGAGAGTACATCACCTCTCAACTGCCTGGGGGGCCCCTGCCACCCCCCCTCATCCCTAAATCTGGCCACCACTAATCTACTGTCTTGTCACTATAGTTTTGGTTCTGGTTTTACAAATGTGTTCTGTGCACAGAATCATCTAGTAGGTAAGAGACACCTGTCTTGCCCCGGATGCCTTCGAGATTCTCTCTTAGTGTGTGCATTCAACAGCGGCCCGCAGCAGTCCACGCAGGCCTCCAGGGCTTCTCCAGGCTGGTTGCCAGGCTCGGGAAGGGGCAGGGAAGAGGCTGACCTGCTACCTACAAGTTCACCAGGGGGGCACATGCCAAGCAGAGGAGCGGGATTTGTGCAGCCCCTAGTCCAAGTACATGCATTCTGCTAGCCTCCCTGACCCCCATCCCCAAAAAGTTGGCCAGTCCACATCCTTTTAATATTGTTCCCACATCTGAAGCAATGCCCAACCTCACGCCCTTCACCACCACCACCACCCCCCACACAGACACACACCGCCAGGCAGCATGGGTACTGTGCCCATCCCAGAATCTCCACACCAGGTCTCAGCACACAGTAGCGTTACGTCAGCACAGGAAAAGGGACAGGGGGGCCAGGGGTGCAGGCCGCCCTAATCCCACGGTTCCCCGTGGCGGGGCCTAACGAGGGCTCTGCTTCCCGCCTGCCCTGACTGCCAGGAACTGGCAGCCAGGAGTGTGGCAAAGGGGTTTTGTGCTCAAGCGCGGCTGGGAGCGAACCTTGCACCCCTACTGGGCATCCAGGTCACTGAGGACCCCTGGAGAGCGAGGATGGCTGCTCTCTGCAGACCCCTGGTGTCAGAACACCCAGAAAACAGTGGGGTTAGAGGACTGGGGAGAAAGTGGTGAGAGGACTCCTGGCACACGGGGGCTCGCGATAACCGGGGGCTCGCGATAACCGTGAGGAAGGAGCTGGAGGAAGTGGGGAGGTCCCCTGGGGTCCACGCCTGACTCCAGGCAGCCCTTCCCTCCTCTTCCTTGTGTACCCAGGAGGAACGTCCCTGGACAGTATCCAAGGATCGGAGGCGCCCCACCCCCCAAGACAGGGGCCAAGCAAAGCCCCAGAGGCTGACTCAAGCCAGGGAGTTGGGGAACAGTGTCGGGGAAGTGGGAGTGCGCAGCTTCAGGGTTGGACAGGCTCAACGCAAAGCCCGGTCTCTCTCTTCACAGGTTTGTGACTTTAGGAAAGTTACTTAACCTCTCTGAGCCTTCAGTTCCTCCTTTATGAAACCACACCTCTCAGCTCACAGGTTTCAAAGAGGCACAATGAGAAAGGCAGCTCAGGGGCCTGGTGCCCAGCACATGCCCCGCCAGGGACAGGAATGACGGACTTTAAGGGGGCAGCTGCCCAGACCCAGCTCTGGCAGCAGATCAAACGGGAGACTGGGGCCTCATTCCCATGGAGGTCCTGGGTTCCTCTCCCGACTCCCCAGTAGCCTTCCAGGGAAGCCTGGTTTCCATAGAAACGAATGACTGCAGAGCAGTCCCTGTCAAGGAGAATGCACCCTGACCAGTGGCGGGTGGGGGGCTGGAGCCCAGATCGCCCACCAGCTGCTGGGCCTCCCCGATGGATGATTCAGGCGGAGTCACAGCCCCTGGGAGTCACAGCCAAGATCCACTCCTCCTCCAGCAAGACCCTCTGCAGGAAGAGCAGCTGGCGCGCTCCCCATCTGGCCCCCAGAACATCCACCCCGCCCCCAGGCCAGGGCACGGGCGCCCAGGTGGGAAGGCTCCTGACCACTGCACTCCAACTTGTGTGTCACAGAACTAAGGCCCCAGTGACTGCTGAAGCAGAGCAAGCGAGCTGTGCGGCCCTGGCCGTTGAGGGGCGCCGTGCTGCCTGCTGGCCGTGGGGCCTGGCCTGCCTGCTCTCCAGAGCACGGGGCTCCAAGCCACTTTCCCAGCTGCCTTGAAAACCACTGGGGTATCACCAGCATTTGAACTTTGGGGTCCAGCCCCCTTTGGGTTGAAGTCCTGAGACTCCGGCAGGTCCTGGGAAAGGCTGCAGGGAGATCCATTGTTTTGTTATCACAAGGCTGCAAAATAGCTGGAAATGGGGTCCCGGCTAGGGCAGCACCACAGGGGGAGGGGTATGAGTCGGAACCTCTAGACCCTGCTTAGAGAGGAGGGGGGCTGGGACTGCCAGAGAGCAACGGGTCAAGGGGCTGGGGCCTCCAAGCTTGCACCATCTTCCCCGCGGGTCTTTCTGCATCAGCCCCTTGGGCAAGACGGGTCTCAAGACCCCCAGCCCGGAACCCACCACCCAGGTCCTCAGATCGAGTGGATCTGGGGTCCCGGGAGCTGTAAGACACCAGGAGCTAAGTAAAGGCACCTGTGGACTCTGCCGTACCGGCCCTGGGCCTTGGGGCAAGTGACGGAGCCTGACCCTCCAGCTCGGCGGAGAGGATGAAGTCTGACTTACCAGGCTGCTGGAGAATCACAGCTAGGACGTCACAGAGCACGAGGGAGGCTTGATCAGCACAACCGCTGCCTTGCCCACACAGCTCAGCAGCATCGGGGTGCAGATTTAGACGGGGGACCTCAGGGCCCAGGGTTAAGGCAGGAGACCAGGCAAAAGTGCCCTGTGAAAGGCTCCCCTTCATGCTGGCTCTGAAGAGCGCGATTATCCTAAAGGCTGGCCGGCCTGGGTCAGCCTTGTGCTGGGGGTGGGTGGGGTGCTCCATCTCCCAGGTCCTGGCCCCAGAAGCAGCATTGGCTGCAAAGGGCGGGAGCCACAGAGTGGAACAAGCAAGGGAGGGCACTCAGTGTCCTCATGGAACCCTCCCCAAGCAGAGACCCCGGGAGTGTGTGGGGTCTCGGGGCCCTTTGTGACTGGGCTCCCAGGCCCTTGGTGAGCTAGCTACGCGGCAGCAGCCCCAGGCCCAGGCCCTCGTCCCACCCGCTCTGCCTCCAGGACCCAATTCCTTTCTGCTCCTCCATTAGTTATCTTTCTTTCCAAGGTGCCTCGTTTCCAGGAAAGCCCAGACTTTCACCACAAACATCTCTAACGCCTTAGGGACATAAAACAAACTCCCCAGCCATGCTGCAGAGGCCAGAGGGTGGGGCAGGGCAAGGGACAAGAAGAGGGACGGATGTGTGGGGAACAGCCCCCCCCTTGAAACTGCTGTGTGCAGGGGGTAGGGGTGGGCAGGAGGGAGTCATCCTCCATCACCACTGACAACTCACTGAGAGGGTGCTGGGGCCCCTACTGTCACCCCCAAGGGCAGAGCACAAGAGGAATGCCCGTCCTTTTCAACCCAGGAAAGGGCCAGCCTCCCCCTCCATCCAGTAAGGCAGCCCATGCTTCCAGGCCCCAGGGGTCATGTCTTGGGGCAGCCTGATTTCCGGGGCAGCCTGATTTCCGGATCCCGTGGGACTTGCGAGAAGGCAGCTGACAGACCCCTCTTTCCTGCCAAGTCTCCCCGCTGTTCCATCCCTGTGGATGCTGAGGGACTTGCAGGGGGACAGTGGTGGGAGAGGCGCTTCCTTGAAGGGATGCTGTACCACTCTGAGCCAACTTTTTCAGAAGCAAGTGATCTGTCTTGGGGGGGGGGGGGCAGACAGAAGGCAGTATCCTGGATTTTTCCCAGGACACTAATGGGTCAGAGCAACAGTCCAGGATTGACCATATCCCCAGGGTTTGGGGCTCTGGCTTTGTGGTTAAAGGTCATGATTCAAAATGTCCATGCTTAAATCCTGGCTCTACCACTTATTAGCTGCAGGGCCTCGGGCCAGTGACACTGATGGAGCCCAATATTCCCCAAACACCTTCAACACCACCTTCCTGGGATGGGCATGATAGTGGCACCAGGCATTGCGAGAGCTATATGGTCTGCAGGGTTTTGCTTCCCAAATCCATACCCCACGAAAGTTCACACCCTCAAAGCCCTATCTAAAAGTCCCTTCCTTCCTCGGGGAGGTCTCCGCCACCACCCTATTAAAACTGACCACCCAGGCGCTTGGCCTCAATAAGCCCCCCGCAACTTTTCCCCCTCACCTCCCAGTACACAGTATATAACTTGCTTGTGTATCATTTGTATCCCCACCCC